ACCCCATGGACAATATGGTTCTAATGTATGATTTGTCGATATAATCACTGCATCCACCCAAAATGGATGCTGACATTTTGAAGCCGGATTTTCGGTGTTTTTTGAATTTTTCTTATAATTAGGATAATGGACTAAAGTTATTATAGGATTGTAGAACTCGTAATTTTGCTTCGTTTAGTGTATATCTCATGAATGTGCTCACCGTAGCTTCTTTGCAATTGGGTTCCAAAGACGAAAAATTGGTGCGTACATTTTTATAAAATATATTATATATTATATATTATTATATTTTTTTAAGTCTAAAATTAAGAAAGTCCATTCAAATTCCGTGGAACACCGCGTAATGTTAGTTTTTTACGTGCCGGATCTAATGAGCCCATTCATGTTCAAATCCGCCCAATAAAACGGCGGATATAGGTACCTCGGGGTTCTTAACCGATCCTTTTAAAATAGGTGTCCTTTTGTGTATTTTCATAGGAGATTACTGAAATCAGATGCGCATAAAAATCATATGCACGTTGCGTCATTTTTAGGGTTTTTGCATAATTAAATGCATCGAGCGGCACACTTTGGCCCCTAAATGAAACCTCGAAAAATGCATAATTATCGGTTTATACGAAAACCGCATGCGCATCATGCTTTTTAATGTTGATCATTTTCATATACTGTAACTGCAATATATTTGGTCATTTTTAACCCTACGGTCAATAACCGGGTACATTTGTACCTTTTTTTGAATAAAAATGCTGTAAAATTTTCAATAATAGAGATATTTGGATCAAATTTTGAGGAATCATTCTTGAGGTATTTTCACTCATAATCGAAGAATAATAATAAATATTTTCCATATATATAATTTTTAAAATTTTTTAAAGTTATTACCTACGTAGATCAATAACCGTGGTACATTTGTACCCATCCAAAGATAGCTCTGAAACTCATTAAAAAATTGGACTATCGCGAGGTTTTCTGTTTGAAATTAGTCTATACGGATCTAATCTAGATGTAGGAACTCAAAATTATATATACATTAAAATAATATATACTTAAATCCATGCTTAAATGATAATCTATCTCAACCAATCATAGTAAATTCGTCATAGCTTTCGAATGGGTTAAGTTTTTTTAGTTATTTTTTATTGGGATATTTTTTATTGGGATATTATATATTTAAATCCAAGCTTAAATGATAATCTATTTAAAACAATCCCCTCGAATGGGTTAAAATTTTTTTTTGTGGCCCTGGAAATTTTTGTGGCCCACAACATGGGGCCATCAGGACGACTCGTGGAATTCAGAAACTACCCTGGTTTTCCCTTGGTATACAGGCACAAAAACAATGATTAATGTCCGTAATTTTTCAATTATTCTTCATATTGGGCCTGAAACATTTTCTGTAATCGATTTAGTCTGAATTATTACAATTCTAAATTGGCGTACATATATTAACTATCATTAAATAACGTTTTAAAGTATTAAATAAAGTTAAAAATGCGCCAATCGCAATCTCTAAACTCATAAAATGTGAATAATTGGCAATAATAATTGTTTTTGTCCATGTATACTAAAGGAAAACCAAGGTAGTTTCTGACTTCCACGAGTCGCCCTGATGGCCCCATGTTGTCTAGGGCCACAGAAATTTGCAGAGGGGTTGATGAACACCTAAATAAGATCCCAATAAAAAAATAACTAAAAAAGCTTAACCCATTCGAAAGCTATAACGAATTTACTATGATTGTTTTAGATAGATTATCACTTAAGCTTGGATTTAAATATATAATATTTTAATGTATATATAATTTTGAGTTCCTACATCTAGATCAGATCCGTGTAGACTAATTTCAAACAAAAAACCTCACAATGTTTTAATGAGTTATAGAGCTATATTTGGATGGGTACAAATGTACCACGGTTATTGATCTACGTATACTTTTTTGGTTATTGACCGTAGGATTAAAGTCAAAACTCTTACCAGAGGAATCTACCGATATTTAACAATCATCTAAAAGAATTTTTAGAAGAAATCTTCACGTGTTGTAGAAGATCTAGACTAAGCCGTATCATCTTAACCATACAAAAAATTGAAAAAAAATATTTTGTGGCAATTCAAAAATTAATTTATTTTATTTTCAGATATTTTCAAGCTTTTATTTCTTTTTCGCGACTATTAAACCGTATTTCAATGTGATTTGACTAGTATGCTAAGAAAACAAATGTGTTTAACCATTTGTAAAGAAATTCGCGAATTACAAAAAATAGGAATTAATGTAACTTATATTTGAAATACAAGATTTAAAACCGCTATAACTTTTGTGCGCAGCATCCCAATTTGTGAACGCGAACAGATTTTGAATCAGCACATTTTCCTTAACCTATGTAAAAAAATCATGAATGTGCTTGCAAAAAAAAAAAAAATTAAAAAAAATTTTAATGGCATTTTAAAGGAATTTTGTAATTTGCCATATATTAAGGTCATCCAGTAAACCTACAGTAGGCCTATTGTGCCACTTTTTAACAACATTCGGCATTGTTTATTTTACAACAATATCATTTGTTTGTTTTGTTGTTTTTACAATAACAAAAGAGAATTAAACAATATCGAATGTTGTTAAAAGATCTGTATAGGCCTACTGATATCTAATTTTTTTTGTCAAAACATATTGAATTCAGAACCAGTAAGGAAAGTAGTAAAGTCGGACGGGGCCGACTATATGATACCCTTCACCACTATGGGTATATTAAACAGGACTATTAACATAAAATTGGATGAAAAAAAATATGTGATATTTACCTAACTGTGAATCTACCTAGATCTATCCATAAAGTATGTCAATCGACTTCAAACAAGTATAAAGAGGTCATCCGTTGGGCTATGTCGGTACTTCTAGAAAACGCAACTACGTAATTCTATGCTCAATACGTTGGTCAAAATTTGATGTCAATCTGACTAACATGAGGAGTTTGATGCCCAATTTACTTGAAATCGGGCGAAAATATATATGGAAGCTCTATCCAAATATTAAGCGATTTCAAACAAACTTGTCACAGGTATCTAAATCTGGACCGATTTTCACGAACCAAGCCAGACATCATTCTAGGCTCAATTAAGTATGTTATGCCAAATTTTGTGCAAATCGAAGGATATATAGGGACTTTGGTGCACCTTTTACATGAAATCGGACGAAACTATATATGGCAGCTATATCTAAATCTTGACCTATTTTCACGAAACTTGGCAGACAGTACGTTATGCCAGATTTCGTGCAAATCGAAAGATTTATAGGGACTTTGGGGCACTATTTACATGAAATCGGACGAAACAATATATAGTAGCTATATCTATATCTGGACCGATTTTCTCCAAACTTGGCAGACATCACTCTAGGCTTAATTCAGTACGTTATGCCAAATTTCGTTCAAATCGAAAGATATATAGGGACTTTGGAGACCCATTTACCTTAAATCGGACGAAAATATATATGGGAGCTATATATAAATCTGAACCGATTTCCTCGAAACATGGTACACGTCATTCTTGACCTAATTCAGTACTTTATGCCAAACTTCGTGCAAATCGAAAGATATATAGGGACTTAGGAGACCCATTTACCTTAAATCGGACGAAACTATATATGGGATCTATATCTAAATCTGGACCGATTTTCTCAAAACTTGGCAGACATCACTCTAGGCTTAATTCAGTACGTTATGCCAAATTTCGTGCAAATCGAAAGATATATAGGGACTTTGGGGCACCATTTACCTTAAATCGGACGAAAATATATATGGGAGCTATATATAAATCTGAACCGATTTCCTCGAAACATGGTACACGTCATTCTTGACCTAATTCAGTACTTTAGGGACTTAGGAGACCCATTTACCTTAAATCGGACGAAACTATATATGGGATCTATATCTAAATCTGGACCGATTTTCTCGAAACTTGGCAGACATCACTCTAGGCTTAATTCAGTACGTTATGCCAAATTTCGTGCAAATCGAAAGATATATAGGGACTTTGGGGCACCATTTACATGTAATCGGAAGAAACTATATATGGGAGCTATATCTAAATCTGGACCGATTTTCACGAAACTTGGCAGACATCACTCTAGGCTTAATTCAGTACGTTATACCAAATTTCGTGGAAATCAAAAGATATATAGGGACTTTGGGGCACCATTTACATGAAATCGGACGAAACTATATATGGGAGCTATATCTAAATCTGGACCGATTTTCACGAAACTTGGCAGACATCATTCGAGGCTTAATTCAGTAGGCTGTACCAAATTTCGTGCAAATCGAAAGATATTTAGGGACTTTGGTGCACCATTTACCTTAAATCGGACGAAAATATATATGGGAGCTATATCTAAATCTGAACCGATTTTTCCCAATTTCAATAGGGTTCGTCCTTGGGCCAAATAAGTGACGTATGCCAAATTTCATCCAATTCGGATAATAAATGCGACCTGTACTTTGTTTACAATTTAACATGGACAGACAGACAGACGGACGGACGGACATGCATAAATCGACTTAAAAAGTGATTCTATGCATATTCTCAAAAGGAACCATGTGTCTATCTCGTTTATTTTTGCCTGTTACAAACATATGCACAAAGACATAATACCCTGTACCACAGTGTGGTGAAGGGTATAAAAATAACCATATTTAGCTTTGACAAAGGCATCGATAAAATTTTCAATTTGTTTAAAAATTATCCAAAAATACACAATAACCAAGGTTTATTCACAAGCAATAAACCTTGTGAATAAACCTTGGTTACACTCAACCAACTTATTAATTAGTATTGAATATCTGTGTTTTATGCTTTATTTCACTTTCCGGCCTCTGTTGCAAACCCCTCCCCTACTGTCCACTGCTCAAAGCATTCGACATACCAATTTCTATCGGCGGAGCCCCTCTGAGCTAAACACTAGTTTTCCTAAGTTCACTTATAATCGAACCATAGTTACACATCATTTACTTACCAATTAAAAACGATGCAATTGTCATTATCAAAAAGTAAACATTAGCAATTCGACGAAATTGTTCCAACATATTTAGGGGTAAAAATGTTAACAAACTATATTTTGTTGTTTTTACATGATTTGGTTTATTCCGACGACGTTTCCTTTCAACACCATCATTACCACCAATTGGTATTTTCAAAGATTCCTCAATAACACTGACACGGGTGCCCTACAAAGTTAGAATATATTTATTTAAACAATTCGATATTTTCAAAAATCTACACGCATGATTTTTACCATTTTTCCTTTTTTTTATTAAAGAACTATATTAAAATATAAACACCAAAATCCTAATGGTGTTCGATATTGATGGTTTCCGATTTACACAATAAATAACACTGCTACCATAACCACCGTTAAGCTACTGACTAATTAATGCATACATCTCATAATTTGCATTATTGTTTATTTGGTATTTAGGTTTTGTAGATTATAACCTATTAGCAAAATATTTTTTGGTTGGATCAAAAATAACCTCTTATCAAAAACGCAATCAATTGATTTCATTGATTATTTGCTAATAATGTCCAAATATTAAGTAATTATACAAGCACATAGATAAATGTATAACTTTGCGGGGGTCATTAAACATTTATTTACCTTAATAATTTAGAGAGAGTTTTTGTTCTCTCTTCTCTATTCTATATTATTTTTCTTAACTAAATTATCAATTATTTTTATGTGTTATTTTTGTGAGTAATTCCATTTCTCAAGTTTACATTTCTATGTTATTTTTTATTACTATGTATATAGATAGTAAAAAATGATGTATCTGCTTTGTTTAACAGGAATAGATAAACTACTCCGCTTCAGTACTTTTAAATCACAAAACAAATATACGTAGAACTAAAATTGACAAACTAAACACCTCTACCATTGGATTGACATTCCAACTTTGATGATTTACTACAAAATAAACTGCGTACCACCTTGGCGGTATAATCGGGCACCAGGCAAGCCACGGCCGTTACAATTGTAAACAGCCAACAGGGTAGAGAGGTGAAGACACGATTATAGGCATGATATAAACCAGGGTTATTGGGACTGTAAACAATGAGAAATATTAAAATAATTAACAATAATACATTTCCAATCCGTTGTAATACTTACAAATCAATAAAGTTGTATATAACCGTACTCAAGATGAAACCAAGGAAAGAAGCAATGATAATGCCAATATAAACGTAGCTAAGGTAGTGGGATTCCAGCATTAACTTCAAATTGCCAACCACAACAACCAGCTGTATTAGAATTGATCCGAAAATATAATATTCAGCCGTTTGCCCCTCGTTGAGTATAACATTGTTAAGTGTTAGGAAGAAATAAGCAAAGAAGAAGACAACAATAGAATGGAAAGCTCCGTTTAATATCCAGCGAAGAAATACCGTCCAACGTACTTGACGATTTTGGGAATTTTGTTGATATAAATGGGGATTTCTGAAATTTGAAATAATGGAAAATAAATAAAATGCCTCAGTGCTGTCTTTAAGACATTAGAATATTAGAAATTAGAACACCTCAAGGTGTTCTATAGAAATTAGAACACCTCAAGGTGTTCTATAGAAATTAGAACACCTCAAGGTGTTCTATAGAAATTAGAACACCTCAAGGTGTTCTATAGAAATTAGAACACCTCAAGGTGTTCTATAGAAATTAGAACACCTCAAGGTGTTCTATAGAAATTAGAACACCTCAAGGTGTTCTATAGAAATTAGAACATCTCAAGGTGTTCTATAGAAATTAGAACACCTCAAGGTGTTCTATAGAAATTATAACACCTCAAGGTGTTCTATAGAACTTAGAACACCTCAAGGTGTTCTATAGCAATTAGAACACCTCAAGGTGTTCTATAGCAATTAGAACACCTCAAGGTGTTCTATAGCAATTAGAACACCTCAAGGTGTTCTATAGCAATTAGAACACCTCAAGGTGTTCTATAGCAATTAGAACACCTCAAGGTGTTCTATAGCAATTAGAACACCTCAAGGTGTTCTATAGCAATTAGAACACCTCAAGGTGTTCTATAGCAATTAGAACACCTCAAGGTGTTCTATAGCAATTAGAACACCTCAAGGTGTTCTATAGCAATTAGAACACCTCAAGGTGTTCTATAGCAATTAGAACACCTCAAGGTGTTCTATAGCAATTAGAACACCTCAAGGTGTTCTATAGCAATTAGAACACCTCAAGGTGTTCTATAGCAATTAGAACACCTCAAGGTGTTCTATAGCAATTAGAACACCTCAAGGTGTTCTATAGCAATTAGAACACCTCAAGGTGTTCTATAGCAATTAGAACACCTCAAGGTGTTCTATAGCAATTAGAACACCTCAAGGTGTTCTATAGCAATTAGAACACATCATGGTTCAAGTAGAACAACTCAAGGTCTTCTATAGCAATTAGAACACCTCAAGAGGTTCTATAGTAATTAGAAGAAAGAAACGCCTCTATTAACATTAGAACCTCTCAAGTGATTCGGTATTCAATATACACCTCAAGGTGTTCTATAGCAATTAGAACACATCATGGTACAAGTAGAACAACTCAAGGTCTTCTATAGCAATTAGAACACCTCAAGAGGTTCTATAGTAATTATAACACTTCATAGTGTTCTATAGGCAATAGGACGCATCATGGTGTTCTATAGGCAATAGGACGCATCATGGTGTTCTATAGGCAATAAAACACTTCCTGGCGTTCTATTGGCAATAGAACACCTTATTTTCTGTAGACCACATAAAATCTCATTGTGTTCTATAGTCAATAGAGAACCTCATGGTGTTCTATAGTCAATAGAAAACCTCATGGTGTTCTATAGGCAATATAAAACTTCATGTTATTCTATAGGCAATAGAACACTCCATGGTGTTCTAAAGATAATAGAACACCATAGACCCTAGAACATCTAGTGGTGTTCTATAGACAAAAAAACATTAGAACACCTTCAGTTGTCTTATAGTTTTTGGAACACCTCATGGTGTTCTCTTACCATTGGGACACCTCAAGGAGTTCTACAGACAATTAAGCACCTTATGGTGTTCTCTAGTTAAATCTTTACTTACCCCATTAACACCTCCTCCGAATATGGCTTCTCACTAATAGCCAAAAAGGTGAAACTAAACGATATATAAATCACATCGAACAGCCACATATACAGCGAATGGTAGACCGATGTCGATGAAAACAAATCATATATTTGAAACAGAACCATTATTCCAGTAATCAAAATATTCTTGTAACAATAGAACAACACCAAAAACGAAAGACGTGCCGTATTATAGTGACCATGAACCAGCAGCAATCGTTGAAGCATAAAAAATTTCGCTATAGAAAAATCTGAACAACGTGCCGCTTGTAGACCTTCTTTACCCATAATGCCAATGCCGACATCGGCCTCCTGTATCATGGACACATCATTGGCACCATCACCAATGGCGGCGGTGAGAAAGCCTTTTTGTTTCTTAACCAAGGTAACAACCTCGGATTTCTGCAGAGGGTTGAGCCGACAACATAGTACGGCGCTACATTTCAGGGCTGTATTACGGAATTCTTCGGGTATTTCTTTTAGGGCTATAGCCAAACTTGGACCATCCATAATTAGGGCATGTTTTGAGTTCTCGTTATTATTTTCACAATTTCCCTCCAGTTTTTGTAAAGCATCCATGACATCTTCTTTGTTATGATAATTCACAATGAAATGTTGTTGGGCATCCGGTGGTATGTGACCACAGGCTAGAGCAATGTTCACAGCTGTCTCCACTTTGTCACCAGTCAAGACCCATATTTTCATGCCTGCTTTTTGTAATGCTGTTAGAGTTCCGCATACATTTTCTTGTAAAGCATCCTCCACAGCAGTGGCGCCCAATAGTTCCAAATCTGTGGGAAAGAATTTTTTTTTTAATAATTTCAATTCCCAAAAAAATCGAATCAAATTTCACACATACCACACTCAACACGTTTATAGCATTCATCCATTAACTCCTGCCTACTTTCCAGGGTATTCTGGGCTATCATCAGATCATTACAAAATTCTTCATATTCATCTTCGGGTATGAGCCTTCTAGCTACAGCCAATGTTCGCAAACCTTCCTTGGCAAATTCTGTGATATGAGGATCTGTTTGCCTTATCATCACTTTCGATTCTTCCGAACACAATTCAAAGACTGCACTTTCTGCACCTTTGGTATATAACCATTTACGATCTTCGCTGTCCGCCACGATAACACTCATACGTTTGCGTTCCGAAGAAAATTCCAAAGTGTTTAAACGTTTATTGGTTTCAATTTTCGATTCACTGCCTTTGGAATCTAACAAAATTTTAACTTTTAACAGATCATTATCCTCTCCAAGATAAATGAAACCCAATTGGCGGCAAGCTTCCAGTAAAGCTTTCTCATCGGGACTGGATGCCTGATATTCCAATAGATCATAGGCAGTATCCTCCAGTGGGCTTTGGGCAATTTGTACCGTGTGGCACAATGTCAAAGCCCGGAAGAACTCAACTTCTTTATCCTGCAATGAAAAAATATAAATTTTACGTTCTCTTCGTATCTCCGATGTAACCACACCTTACCTCAAATTCCTTTACACTCAACATTTTCTTCGTTTCCACATTTTCCAAAAAATAATTACGGTACATATATTTCACTCCGCCAATTGAACATTGTTGAAATATCATTTCATTTTTGGTCAATGTTCCAGTTTTATCCGAAAATAAAATATTTATTTGGCCCAAATCTTCATTGAGGTTAGAGGAATTTACCACAGCTCGTTGATCTGTCTCCGAATCATATAATTTCTGATCTTGTTGTATAAAGAAGGCATTCAATACACGATATAGCTCAATATTCATATACATCGATATCGGTATCATATAATTGAACAGAATCAAAAATGCCAAAAAATCTTCAATAATATTTGTAATGGCATTGACTTGTATCGGTGGACCCAAATAATCCATAAATGGTATGGTATTAATTTCTTCATATCTGAAATGAAAAAAAAAACGAATTATTTGAAAATCCTGTAGTCATAGAATTTTTGATCTTTAAGCGCGATATGTGCCTGCTGCAGAATCACGATTTTTGTAGTCCATAGAATCAATTTTCGTCAATGTTGGACTTTGAACTTAAAATAAAAACGTGGGTTAACAACTTAGTTTGATAGAAGTCCAATTTTAGTCCCATTATTTTGAAACCTCAAATTGGATATTTATTTAGAAGTATTGCATATCATTGGTCGCACGCTCACGATTTGCTTCGACAATGTTGATTACCGACAACTACTACCCAGCTCGACCAACTTCGTGCCGAAAACCCCGCTGACGACAGAATCCCGCAGGTAAGCACTGAAATAAATGCTTTAGTCCTTGAGCATAGGCGCTCTATACGATTATTTACACAGCGATGTAAATTCCAAGCAGCTATCTACAGAGAAGCTTAGAGTACGTGGGTACCTACCTTGCTGTCTTACCACGGTGCTATAAACACCAGTTAATACAAAGCATCAAACAACGCCCTCACTACTAATCGATCACACGTATTTGGAGTTGATTACCTCCCTGGATATGGAGCGGAGCCCATCTATAACTTCCGCCTTTCTATGGATCAGGCACCCGCGATTTGGGTATAAACCACCTCCAGCACGATGCTCCCCGAAGAGCCAACTGCCAGGCTAGATCCGAAACCGTTGGTCAGGTTCATAGCCGAAGCTATTACCAGTAGAACCCCAAACGGTTCGAGACTTGTCACCACAGACTATACTATCATTAGAACAAATATTTGCAGGCTTTCTACAATGAAGGGGATACAAAGAAAAAGGTGACCACCAACACTTTATGACTTTGGTAGCAAACATGCAACTCACCCCTTCCAACAATTGTTCCACAAGCCTGCTAGTTCGGGAATGGTCCGAAGACGAAACTACTACCATTTGAACTAATACCTGCAGACTCTCCACAATGGAATAACCGTTAAAAGAGGACGAATAACAGATGCAAAAACCAAAACCTCTCGATGCCAATTTCCACATCGTCTCCCATTACCACCCAACGATCATTCCACAAGCCGACAATGTATGGGAATAATAACCCTAATAGTTTCGATTCATGATCCGGGACTAGTAAACCCAAAGACACAAAAACCCAAAACACCAGAATACCCTCAAGGGCATTATTCACACTACACATCCACACAGGATAGTGGCCGTAACCATTTGGGTATCCGGCCCCCGCCGGACCAAACTCACACTCTACAAGACACTGATACTACCCGTGCTGTTATATGGATTTGAAGCATGGGAACTTGCGCATGCAAATGAGGCACCTCTTTGAGAAAATTTATCCTGAAGATCTATAAGCTGATCTGCGTCGATGGCGAATATCGCCGTCGAATGAACCACGAGCTTTACAATCTATACGCGGACATCGACATAGTCAGTCGTATCGAGCTGCAGCGACTACGTTGACTAGACCATGTTGTGAGAATAGATGATGTCCCAGCTCAAAAGGCATATAAAAGCGAGCCAAGCGGCAGTTTACACAGAAGGGGAAGGCCATAAATCCGATGGAAAAATCAAGTAAAAGACATCTCGGAAAATAGTTTTTCAAATTGGATGACATGCACACAGACCAATGCGCTTGGAAATCTTTTTAAGCTCAGCTCCTGGAAAAACCGTTCAAGCCAGCTAAGTAAGTTTTACCATTGTTGAAGGTTGCTTTCCACTGATCATAATTCTTCAAGAATGAAGTACTCGATGTTTGGCGCTTTAGTTGTCTCACGGATCACATCATTCATGACAACACGTGCAATGTGATTCAGAACATGATGCTGGCAACTGATAATCTTCGGTGCAGGATAACCATTCTCTTCCAAAATTTTCTGCAGTCGAAATACAACGCCTATCTTTTTGTAGGTGTTTACGCCTGATCTCCCGACAACAATCATCGTTCACTAGGTGATTCTTCTTCTTCTTCTTCTTAGAGAAATGAAGGCATTAGAAGCGTCGAACGACGTGTATCTTCGGGTGTATGCGACTCCGTTCACTCATCGGCGCAGCAACAATTACCATTTGCCTCCTCGTATTAACGTTTCTAAATCGACTAGGTACTTAGGAAATCAGGAAAAATAGATAATCGTTTGTATCTTGTGAATTTTTTTTTCATTGTGTATAGTCTAGCACAAAAAGCGCGATATAAACAGAAAAAGTTAAGTGTTTTGGAAACTTCCACCTCTGTTATGAACACATGTTAAAATTTCTTTCGATCTGGCAACTCCTTCATATAGAAACAGGAGTTCCATTGTAAACAATTCCGGATGTGTCCTTTTTAAACACCTGTTTCTATATGAAGGAGTTGCCAAATCAAAACAAAATTTAACATGTGTTCGTGGCTACCTATTTATTGTGCCCGGATTTTAGTCTAAAGTCTTTTCTTGTACAAACAATTCCATTCCAAATAAACTTTTAGATATAGTATTAACATATTGCGGTTTCTATACATAAAAATAACCTTGTAGTATATCATTCCATCTTACCTTCCCAACATATACAGGATAATGCAGGCAACCACCATCAGCACGACCAAAAATATTAAAAATTTGTTAATATAGATTTCACTTGAAGCTGACTTATTTCCTGTATAACGGCTATTTAGCTGCAATTTTGTAGACATCCCCGTATAAACTGCACATCCTATAACCTTTTCCGTATTCTTAACCTTCGATCCGCGCAACAGAAGATTATCACTTGTCAAAGGCAGCACCATTGACGTACCATTTACTTCAATTTTTCCATTAAATTTATATAAATCTGTTCGCGGACTTTCACACTCAATCACTCCCAGTCGATTTAAATCGATTAAATCGTTGATCTCCGGTAGACCTCTCGGTATCGTTAATGTCTTCAAATTTGTTTCACCATCCAAATTGGCAGTGGTAACAAAACATTTACCACTCTTATCGGTCGAATGCAATAAAACCACATCACAGGGTACATCACAATCGGAACGAACTACAACCAAATCGCCCGGGCATACATAACGAGATTCAATTTCCCGCTCCTGACCATCACGTAAAACGGTAACCTTTGAATAATTCACCAAGTTATCATTTTTATAACGTTGATAATCTTCATGGGCCTCCTTAATGCCCGTCACAATCATAACAAACAGTAGCGGGATCAATGAGACCATGGGTGAAAGTGTACTATCTGTAATTAACGTAATTATTAATAAGATTGTACAAATGCAAGTTTTCTTTAATCGGGCCAATACTTACTGATGAAAAACGATATTATGGTCACTACCAAGAAATAAAAATATACCGCCCTTCGAAATTGATCGTAAAAATTAATGGGTAAAAATGTTAACAGAGTATATTTGGTGGTCTTTATACGATTTAGCTGCTGAGATTTTTTACCACTTTGTGTGGCATTGCCGCCCACTTGTATGCGGAGATTTTCCGTTGATTTACTGCCACTTGAACCCTGTTTAAAATTTAAATTCATATTCAAAATTGCTTTTAAATATTTAATCACTTTAAAACATACCATTTTCAATTTATATTTTTTTCCTCAAATTGTCCAATATTTTCTGTTTATTAATTTAATTTCATTGTATTTTTACGACTTCACCCAATCGACCACCAACGTTCTTTAACGGCCAATATTAACTTCGCTACTGAATATTTTTCCGCTAATCAGTCGATGGGTTCACATTTCACTTGATATGCAACTCAATATTGTATTGAATTGTGTTGTGTTGAATTCTTAGTGTTTTAACGATAAGGATAGAGTTAAAGGCATTATCGTAGACATGAGTATTTTGGTAATTATTGTTTTAAAAAGATTATGATATGCTAATTCTTATTGGAACCCCTATTAATAAATATATACACCATTTCAAAAAAGACTATAATACGAGGGCAGTTCGGAAAGTTCTTAGCCCAACACAAAAAACGCGTTATATATTATCGTAACACTTGAAGCTACCTGAGTTTCTCCCGATCAAAACAACGAAAAATCAAATTGATCATGCTGTCATAGACTGAAGGCGTTCATCCAGTGTTTTAGGCGTTCGATCGTTTTGAGGAGCGAATATCAATTCGGACCACTACCTTGTAGCAGCCAAGGTTCGCACTCGTCTTAATGCAGCAGCAAATGTGCGATCCAACACAACACGGAAACTCGATGTCGAAAAGCTGCAAACACAACAGATAGCAGAAGCCTACTCCGCTCAACTCACCCACCTGCTTGAGAAGACCACTCCTTGTCTCGATAATAAAATAGACGCACAATTGCAAAGAATTGCCCACTCCATACAAACTGCAGCAAAAGCAACACTTGAGTACCAAAGACCAACATCAAGAAACCCGTGGTACGATCAAGAGTGTCGTAATGCTACTGATGTGAAAAACGCAACGTATAGGACAACCCTGAAGACAGTAGCAACACGTAATGCGAGAGAGAATTTTCGGAAGAAAAGGAGAGGGGATAAACGTGTTTTCAAAAAAAAAAAAACAGAAAGAACAAGAAAAACGTGAGCAATTCGAGATGTACAGAAGTCAGAATGAAGTCCGGAAATTTTACCAAGAGTAAGGCTTTGGCACAGGCACTTCCTCCTGTAGATATGAAGAAGGAAACCTGGTGACAGATACAGACAGCGTGCTGAAGATCTGGAAGGAGCATTTAGAAAAACTTCTGTTATCAAATAGTAGCGGTGAAGAGTATACCCCAGCACCAATAAGAGATGACTGTATAGATTGTATACCACCTAGCCACGATGAGTTCATAGTAGGAAGGAGTATTTTGCAAAGCTTCTGTGACGGTGAATAAGATACCCCAGAACCAATAATAAATGATGGTATATATTGTATACCCACTAGCCAGATGAGGTCAAATTAACAATTAATGGGCTGAAGAACAATAAAGCAGCAGGTGCCGATAGATTACCAGCCGAACTATTCAAGACAGGTAGTCAGAGCACGCACCAACTGATTAGGACAATTTGGCTAGAGGAATGCATGCCCAATGTTTGGAACCTCAGCATACTGTGTTTCGTGCACAAAAAGGAGACAAGACCATATGTGCCAACAATAGAGGAATAAGTCTCCTTCCCATCGCATATAAAGTGCTACCCAGTGTGCCGTGTGAACGACTGAAGCCAATGGTCAATGATATTATTTGGCGGTTTTAGGCCCGGCAAATCCACCTTAGACCAAATTTTCATTCTGCGCCTGGAGAAGACCCACGAAGAAGTAATCGACAAATTCCACCTATTCGTCGATTATAAAGCCGCATTCGACAGCCTGTAAAATTAATACGGCTATGCAGGATAACTTTAAGCGGCACAAAGTCAACAGTTCAAGTTGGAAAGGATCTCTCAGAGCCCTTCAATACCGAACGAGGATTCAGACAGTTTGACAGTTTGTCGTGTGACCTTTTTAAAATCCTGCTGGACAAGGTCATACAAGAGGCAAAGGTGAACAGAAATGGAACTCTGTACAACAAACAACACATGTTACTCGCCTACGCCGATGACATCGACATAATGGGTCCAACATTGGGAGCGTTAACGGCCACCTTTGAAGAAATTGAGAAGGAGTCTGAAAGTTAGTGCGGCAGTAAATGGCGACCAAGTTGATAGTATCAACTCGCAAGACGTCCAGTAGATTCGAACCATCTGTGGAACTTGAAAACTACAGCTTCGATTTAGTTAACGATTTTCTGCCACAAGACAGCTAAGTAAGATAAATAAATATATTAAAAAAAGGAAAATATCTTCTTGCAGATTAGGAACTGTTGGGCGCCACTGCTGTAAAGGATGCTCCACAAGAAAATGTACGCGGAACTCTAACAGCATTACAAAAAGGCGGTATGAAAATATGGGTCTTGACTGGAAATAAAGTGGAGACAGCGGTAGCCTGTGGCCACATACCATCCGATGACCAACAACATGTTATTGTGAATTATAACAATAATAATTAAGGGTTTTATTCAAAAAAAAAAACTTGAGGTATTTTCTGAAAAGAACACCGAGTCCCTGAAATATGCTCTAATTATAGACGGCCCAAGTTTGGCTATAGGTACGAAATTTTGTATGCTTCGACGTTTGCAGCAATGGTCACTATAGTACGGCAAGTCTTTAATTTTTGGTGTTGTTCTATTGCTACAAAAATATTTCAAATACTGGAATTATGGTTTCGTCTCAAATATATGATTTGTTTTCATAGACTTCGGTATATTATTCACTGTATATATGGCTCTTCGGTGTGATTTATAGATCGTATAGTTTTAGCTTTTTAACTATTAGTTAAAAACCATATTCGGAGGAGGTGTTAATGGGGTAAGTTATGATTTGAAGTACAGAACAACTTGAGATGTTCTAAAGTCTATAGAACACCTTGAGGTCTTCTATTGGCTATAAAACACCTTGGAGTGTTATATTGGCTACTAAATACGATGAGGTTCTATTGTCTATAGACCACCATAAGGTGTTAAATAACTGTAGAAGACCATGAGGAGTTTCATAGGTTAATGAGCATCATATGGCGTTATATTGGCTATAGACCAATATACCAATGCCACCACAGGGACTAGCCGTATATTGAAGATTTTGATGGCAGCCTGAATGTATGCTAACATATTCAATTTTATGAAGAATTGTTCCTTTAGAACATAGACATGGATCATATCACAATATGCATAAAATTTAAAAAAAAATGATTTCTTTAGTTTTTAGTAATTATAGAGTAATAGATTTTTGGTTTCACCTCTATAATAATAAATAATATTACAGTTTTCATTTTATATTCATTTATTGAATATTCATTTTTCTTTTCTTCTTTTTATTACAAAGTAATAAAAATATTTGTGTTTTTATATTTATTTTCATTTATACAATAAAGGAAATATTCCAAAAATACTAGTGAATAAAATTTGTAGGCGTATATATATTAATATAAAAATAGCATTTCAAAAATTAAAACTAAACGAAAAATAATTAATGCAGTTTATTTTTTACACAGTGGTATAATGAGCTTTGCAGTGAACTGAAAGGAAAAAAACAATATATGTATTGATTAGAATATTAGACAACAAAAAAAATGTAGTAACATACCTATAAATTCTGAAACTGGATCATTATCCCCCTCACCCCGCATGGTACCGGTAATTTCTTCATTTTCCACCATTGGCAAAAATAATTGTACAAACTCTGATGAATATGGATGTGTTATGGTTTCGAGAACTTCAGTTACAAAATATCGTATTAACGAGATGTCTGTGTCACCTTTACCCCAACATTGTTTAATGTATTTGACAACGGGTACCACACATCCCCGCGTTAGTAGATTAACCATACGATCAAGTAACATTTTCTTCATTTCTAGTTGTACTAAAATTTCTAATTCATCTTGTTTCGATTCGAATAGACGAATCAGCAGTGTGAGAATTTGTTGATGTAGCGTGGGATGCACAGCAGCCACTTCATCTAAAATGGCAAGATGTGTCGGACAACTGTCGGTGGAAAGTTTAAAGTATGAAGGTTCGGTGACAGTGTTTTCTATCCAGCGTATAACACCCACACCTACGACGGGAAATCTGAAAGGGAAAAAGGAAGGCATTAGAGCTTGGTTGAATAATGCTAGTAAAGAATAACTCACTTAATGCAATTGTATAGTGTCTGCAGCTCGGCTATTAGTTCCGTTGACCCCTTGTTAACATTGCAAATAGCATGCACCTTTTCTATAGCTTGTATTGTACTTTTCAATTCATCTTTATTGAGAACTCTATCGGTAAGAGGTCTCTTTTTCGCCGGAGTATCCACCACAGAGGCGGCATATGCCAACAAGAAAATATATTTTGATTTATGTTCGGGATTTATTTTCACTCCCGCCTTGAAGAGGGAGTCGACCAATAATTCCAAAAATTGTGGATTTCTTATTAGATCAATTGGCGGCGGATCTGCCCCAGAATAATTACGATATAGTACAGTTATATCAGCTGGATTCAATGTGTTACGCGACAACATGGAAGATAATGCCTGACAGGCCTGGGGATATGCTGCCGAACCATTTAAGGCCATTGTTATGGGTGTGACATTTTGATTGCTGTAAAAATAAAGATGGAAATGAGGAAGTATAATTTGGAAGTCTATTGAAAGATTTCCTTACTTTTGCAAGGCATATTTAGTAATCTCCTGGGAAAGACGTTTCATATTGAAGCCACCCTTGGTTTCTTGACTCAAAACCTGTATCAACACCTGCGAATAGACATAGGTATGCTGGCCATGACACACCATACGAGCACACTCCTGTATTGCTCCCTGGATATCTTCTGGGTTACTAAGAAACTTCGTTATGGAGGTCTTCAGGACCCGTGAAAACACCTCGATCTGTTGTGCTGCCGTTGATATGGATGTAATTTCGCTTTGGAAACCAGCATCCGAAATTAACTTAATTGTAAAATTTAACATCAAACAATCTGGATACTCTTCGGCCAAACGATATATCAACGAGCGCCATGTGGGATGATCAATCATTTCTGTCAACCAATCTGGTGTCTCACCCTCCTCCGTGAAAATTGTATCAGCCTTTTTAGGGTCAAATGTTTTCAAAATCATATCCTTTAAATGGTTTTCTACCATTGCCTGAACATCGGTCACCTTAACACCGGCCAATATCAACCATTCTGCCAACAAATTGGCCATTTGTGCCACCGCTTTATAATTCTCCGATAGCATCATGATGACTTCTTCAGGTGAACCACCAGATTGAAAGTATCTTTTCAATTGGGTAAATATACCCGGTTCCATAATGTAATCCGGTGTCAGAAATTTCTCCAAACATTCTTGTATAGTTTCCTGGGGGTTATCTTCAGGCATTTCCTACGGAAAGAAGAGAAATCCATTTTTTATTTGTTTTCCTTAGTTTTTTATCACAACAAAACACCGCCAACGCCGCCACTCACCTCATCTTCTCCCTTCGGCCTGCCCTGCTGCCAACCACTTTCATCATATTCCATTTCCATGTTATAAATGCACTTCTGTTTTATATATTTTAGTAATTTTTTATTGAAAATTTATTGAATTAATATAAATTTTAATTCATTTATGGAAAGATCAAAGATTTCTATTCTCTTCTTTGGCTTTTTCTCTGTTTTGTTGTTTTGCCACATTCTACAATGATTGTGTTATCAACTGTTTGGGTAATTGAGTAATTGGTAATCATGTACGTTTGTGTAGTGAAGTGAATTGGCCACACATCGAATTATGGTGGTGATGGTTGTTTCAAGCGTATTTATTCCCTTCACCACACTGTGGTACAGGGTATTATGTCTTTGTGCATATGTTTGTAACAGGCAAAAGGAAACGAGGTAGACACATGGTTCCTTTTGAGAATATGCATAGAATCACTTTCTAAGTCGATTGATGCATGTCCGTCCGTCTGTCTGTCTGTCCATGTTAAATTGTAAACAAAGTACAGGTGGCATTTATGATCCGAATTGAATGAAATTTGGCATAGGTCACTTATTCGGCCCAAGGATTAACCCTATTGAAATTGGGAAAAATCGGTTCAGATTTAGATATAGCTCCCATGTATATATTTAACCGATTTAAGGTAAACGGTCCCTATATATCTTTCGATTTGCACGAAATTTGGTACAGCCTAATCATTTAGGTCTAGAATGATGTCTGCCAAGTTTCGTGAAAATCGGTCCAGATTTAGATATAGCTCCCATATATAGTTTTGTCCGATTTCATGTAAATGGTGCCCCAAAGTCTTTATATATCTTTCGATTTGCACGAAATTCGGCATAACGTATTGAATTAAGCCTAGAGTGATGTCTGCCAAGTTTCAAGAAAATCGGTCCAGATTTAGATATAGCTCCCATATATAGTTTCGTCCGATTTCATGTAAATGGTGCCCCCATGTCCCTATATATCCTTCGATTTGCAGGAAATTTGGCATAACGTACTTAATTGAGCCTAGAATGATGTCTGCCAAGTTTCATGAAAATCGGTCCTGATTTAGATATAGCTCCCATATATAGTTTCGCCCGATTTCATGTAAATGGTGCACCAAAGTCGCTATATATCTTTCAATTTGCACGAAATTTGGCACAACGTACTGAATTGAGCTTACAATGATGCCTGCCAAGTTTCGTGAAAATCGGTCCAGATTTAGATATAGCTCCCATATATAGTTTCGTCCGATTTCATGTAAATGGCGCCCCAAAAACCCTATATATTTCTCGATTTGCACGAAATTTGGCATAACGTACTGAATTGAGCCTGGAATGATGTCTGCCAAGTTTCGTGAAAATCGGTCCTGATTTAGATATAGCTCCCATATATAGTTTCGTCCGATTTCATGTAAATGGTGCACCAAAGTCCCTCTATATCTCTTTAAATTTAGCATTACGTACTGAATTAAGCCTACAGTGATGTCTGCCAAGTTTCAAGAAAATCGGTCCAGATTTAGATATAGCTCCCATATATAATTTCGTCCGATTTCATGTAAATGGTGCTCCCAATGTCCCTATATATCCTTCGATTTGCAGGAAATTTGACATAACGTACTTAATTGAACCTAGAATGACGTCTGTCAAGTTTCATGAAAATCGGTCCTGATTTAGATATAGCTCCCCTATATAGTTTCGCCCGATTTCATGTAAATGGTGCACCAAAGTCGCTATATATCTTTCGATTTGGACGAAATTTGGCATAACGTACTGAATTGATCCTAGAATGATGCCTGCCAAGTTTCGTGAAAATCGGTCCAGATTTAGATATAGCTCCCATATATAGTTTCGTCCGATTTCATGTAAATGGTGCACCAAAGTCCCTATATATATTTCGATTTGCACGAAATTTGGCATTACGTACTAAATTAAGCCTAGAGTGATGTCTGCCAAGTTTCAAGAAAATCGGTCCAGATTTAGATATAGCTCCCATATATAGTTTCGTCCGATTTCATGTAAATGGTGCCCTCAATGTCCCTATATATCCTTCGATTTGCAGGAAATTTGGCATAACGTACTGAATTGAGCCTAGAGTGATGTTTGCCTTGTTTCGTGAAAATCGGTCCAGATTTAGATATAGCTTCCTTTTATTATAGATTGATTTTAAGTAATTGACCCACCAAGGAACCAATAGGAACAAAACGTTCTGAAATTAGTATAACCTAACCTGTGACAAGTTTGTTTGAAATCGCTTAATATTTGGATATAGCTTCCATATATATTTTCGCCCGATTTCAAGTCAATTGGGCATCAAACTCCTCATGTTAGTCAGATTGACATCAAATTTTGCACAACGTACAAAATTGATCATAGAATTACGTAGTTGCGTTTTCTAGAAGTACAGACATAGCCCAACGGATGACCTATTTATATTTGTTTGAAGTCGATTTAAATACTTTATGGATAGATCTAGGTAGATTCACATATAGATAAATATCACATATTTTATTTCATCCAATTTCATGTTAATAGTCCTGTTTAATATACCCATAGTCGGCCCCGTCCGACTTTACTACTTTCCTTACTGGTTTTTTATTATTTTAATGCATTAAAAACAACCATATTAAATTAAATTTAAATTGTGAATATTAAATTTGTGAAGGATTTAATTATGAATTAATTGCTATATCACTTAATATTTCGATTTGGTAAAAATTCGATGCTAAACCGTGATAATTTCAAATTCAGCTCTACTTTTGCAACAAAAAAAAAAAATGAATTTTGTTTGAATATTTGGACTAAATCTTGGTTTTTTAAAAGTGACTCAATCTTTGAACCAAATCGAATAATCCTTCTCCATTATATTGATCTAAGTTTTTATACCCTTCACCACACTGTGGTACAGGTTATTATGCCTTTGTGCAAAAAAATAGAGATAGAATATGCATAGAATCACTTTCTAAGTCGATTTATGCATGTCCGTCCATCAGTATGTACATGTTAAATTGTTAACAAAGTACAGATCACATTTATGATCCGAATTGGATTAAATTTGGCATATGTCACTTATTTGGCCCAAGGACGAAACCTATTGAAATTGGGAAAAATCGGTTCAGCTTTAGATATAGCTCCCATATATAGTTTCGCCCAATTTTAGGTAAATAGTCCACTAAAGTCCCTGGAAATCTTTTGATTTGCACGAATTTTGGCAAAGGGTACTGAATTAAGTCTGATGTGTGCAAAGTTTCGTGAAAATCGGTTTAGATTTAGATATAGCTCCCATATATTTGCATCCGATTTAAGATAATTGGTGCACCAAAGTCCCTATATATCTTTCGATTTGCACGAAATTTGGCATAGCGTACTGAATTGCGTCTACAATAATGTGTGCTAAGTGTCATGAAAATCGGTTCAGATTTGGATATAGCTTCCATATAAAGTTTCGCCCGATTTTAGATAAATGGTGCATCACAGTCCCTGGAACTATTTTCATTTGCACGAATTTTAGCATAGCTTACTTAATTAAGTCTAGAATGATGTGTGCAAAGTTTCGTGAAAATCAGTTCAGATTTAGATATAGCTCCCATATATATTTTCATCCGATTTTAAGTAAATGGTGCACCAAAGTCCCACGAAATATTTTCATTTGCACGAATTTTGGCATATCGTACTGAATTAAGTCTAGAATAATGTGTGCAAAGTTTCGTTAAAATCGGTTCAGATTTAAATATAGCTCCCATATATATTTTCATCCGATTTTAGGTATTTGGTGGAAATTTGTCATAGCGTACTGAATTAAGTCTAGAATGACGTGTGCTAAGTTTTGTAAAAATTGGTTCAGTTTTAGATATAGTCCCATATATATTTTCGCCCGATCTTATGTAATTGGTGCACCAAAGTCCCTATATATCATTCGATTTGCACGAATTTTGGTATAGGGTACTGAATTAAGTCCAGAATGATGTTGCTAAGCTTCGTGAAAAGATCCATAGCTAGGCCGATTGACACAACGTACTGAAGTAATATAAATTAGTCTCTGGCAAATTTCCCTGAAATCCGTTCAGATGTAAATATATAACAAAAACGCGACGTCTGTTAGGATACATATGTAGAATATACCCAAAGTGGTGAAGGGTATCATATAGTCGGTCCAGTCCGACTTTGATACTTTCCTTACTGGTTTAAAAGTGTCTTTATCTTAGGACATTATTTAGATTTGGTAAAAATATTGAAATGTTTGAATTTAGGACCAAATCGGATAATTAGTTAATGGATAATTAGTTGTATACTAGCGAAATGCGCGTATGCGGAACAAATAAATAATATTTTATACCTAAATCGTGAATTCTGTATAATTTGTTGTACTATAATTCCGAATCCCACCTCTATTCCTCCATTTAATATCAAGTTCATCACCATTTAGCACTCTTCATACGCATATCTCTTTCTTATTTCCATTATATAGATTCAAAAGTGATCAGAATTCTAATTATTTATTTTAGCAAATAACTACAGGATTCACATTTAGCACTTTTCGAACACATATGTACACATTTTCGAGACTACCTTCATACATTAATCGTCCTTCCAACTTCACTAAATGTAGGATTGCCGCTCTGCTTGTTCAAACAAAACAAATTGTACCATATTTGGTGCTTTTCGTATCCATAAGTACGAAATTCCAATAATACTACCTTAATACTGTAATTTTAATTCCAAATTTAAGTTTCTACATCTCCATCCGATCACTCAAATCTAAATTGTACCAAATTTTGTGTCACTTAGTACACATAATTACGAATTTTCAAAACTACATCCATATCTCATTCATGTACAATTGTACAATATTTTGTACCATTTACCAAATTTCCGAAATTATCTTAATTCTACACTCCAACAGTAATTTAAATTTAATATTTCAGGATTCCAACTCTACCCAAATGCAAATTGTACCAAATTTATCACCTTCCGTACTCGAGTGTAGAGCAGTTTTGCAAACACTTGCCTACAGCTATCGCCTGTGTTGGGTATCAGGACACTGTGGCATCACGGTTAATGCGAAATCTGACGAAATAGCTAGACGGGGATCTCAATATACAGATCTAGCAATCGGGGACTCAATCAAACCACCTCAATCACCTTTTTCGGAACTTTAATGCGTTCTTCGACTAACGAGACAATGAACTTTGACACAACGAACCTAGGTGCAATGTGTCAAGATCTATCTGACCGACTCTGTCAACCAAGAGAACAAGCTCACTGTTGAACCTGTAATCAGAGTAATAACAAGAGTCATTACTGGTCACTGCAATATCAGAGACTTTACCAGTAAGTGGAACCATGATGTTACTGACTACTGCAGACTCTGTGTTGACGAAGAGGATACGGAGACAATTGAGCATCTTATGTGTCTCTGTCCAGTCCTGGCTTACGGACGGCACAGCTGGTGGGTGCTCATTTTCCACCGTGCTTCTATTCAACTATGGAACCTGATTTTAACCTACAGCATAATTAGAAACATAAAGTGGTTGGGAAAGTGCAACCTTGACATGTAATATATCTTCTGTCCGATCTCTGTCCGATCCATTGATACTATCTCATATTCCCTTGTTAGCTTCACATCTCTCTCTATTCCCGTTCTTTGCTCCCCCATATCTTTTTATTTTGGTGGATGATCACAATGGACCTGACGGTTTCAAAGTGCTGCAGCCACATAAGTTACTGCACTGCACATCTCCAAACCTAACTTAACCTAGAAGCATCTATACTAAAATCAAACAATAGTGCTATGTTAATAGGAAATATTGCACATTTATTTGTTCAGCATTACAGAACCATTTTTAATTATAAATATACTTATTAATTACTTACAATCCTATCAATTAAATCATTTCTTCTTTGTAAACCCTGAACATTTTGTTCACTACCCACCGAAGTTATATTACTATTCGTATCGGTGGCCCAATTAAATTTAACAACTTCACGTTTACGTTCAACATAATCATCTTCAATGGCTACACTAAGATTGTGTAAAGCACAAACTGTTTCAAGAATTTTACGAACTTCTGCCAAATCGCGAGCCTCCAAAGCATATAAGGCATTAAAGCGTTTCGCCATTATATCCAAAGTATCTTGTCCCAAACGCAGTGCTGGCTCCAAAAGACGATTAAATTCATGTTCCTTGCGGAAACAAGGATTTGTAATGGGTTTCATAAGATACGGTTTCAAAGGGAAACTTTTGTTACCAATTAAGTAGCATCCCTTTGGCATTGTATTTTCATTTAGTGCCAATATTTGTCCCATTGGGGTTTCATCAAAACTATATTCCTGTTCCAATTCCACAAAACAATCGATAACTTTTTGATCAACATTACAAACGATTTGCAGGATAATAGATATTTCAGCATCTTCCGAGGCGAGAAATATATCCAAACGTTTGAGGGCTAAAATACCAAAAAGATTGGGGAATATTTTCAATTGTGGATGTTTTTGAAAGCCTTGCAGTTGAAGCTGTTGGAACAAGTGGGAGTTTGGCCACTTGATATACGATTCATATTTATCTGAGATTATGTGCCAAAATTGGCTTACGATTAGCTCACAGTCCGGCTGTGGAATATGAAAACGCCGTGATATTTCTTCGAAGTGTTCATCGGTTGTCAGCTTCCAAAGAGCCAAAGAAAATACGGTTTGGGCTGGCACTCCTGCAGGAAATGTTGACTGCTGCAGTAAATGTTTGATGAATTGAAATGTTTTCTGCAAAAATGGGAAATTAAGTATTTTCGAAGTGTTAGCTTTCAAAAATCTTACCAGGAAACTCATTTTACTCATATGCAGAAATCCCTCAAACTCAACATTCTCAAATCGATTAAGTAAATTTAATTCCTTTGACCTTTTGCTGGTCCTAACCTCCGATTCTGCCGGCCTTACACCCTCCTTTCTTTGTCGTGGATCATAGAATTTATTTGGCTTTCTGGTACCTCCCGTCAATCTAGTTCTCAAGATGTGTCCCCTAGTATTTGCATTTTCGGTTTTATTGTCTCCTTCCTTTGTTTTTGTTGTGGGTTTTGTGAAAAATTGTTGCCTTACAAAAAACTCCTCATCTTCGTCATCCATTGGTGCCAATAATGGAAATCGCATCTTATCTTCCTCATTAATATTTTGATTATCGTGCCAAAGAAAATGTTTGGGTTTCTTTTGACTATTAGCCTCATCTACCAGAATATCTTTGGTAATAATCATGGTTATATTCGTCAATAATGCACTCTCCTCCATGGTGTCTCCAAATCCACGACAAATCAATGTATTCTGCGGAAACAACCCCCCAGTGAGGAACAGTGAAAATCTTAAGGATACATTTAGTGTTGGCAATGCCATTTGTAAACAAAAATTTGCAACAACAGTGGTACGAACAGTGGTACGTATAACAGATTGGATAAATAGAAATATTAAATAAAGAAAATCGAAATATTGAATAAAGATGTCAATGGCCAAACACTATACTTCCAAACTACTGCTGTGGATGTGTAATAATTGGTATGTTCCCGTACTGCAAGAATCTACTAGTTTTTACTATTTTATTCGATATCATAAAGGAAAAAGTGTTATCGTAGTAAAAATTAGTAGATTCTTGCAATACGAAATAATGGAAATAAATAAAAGGCTCTCTATTTATTTCCATTTGGGTGTGCAATGTTTGGACCAAGTCGATAAATAATTAATCCGCTCCATATGAGTTTTACAAGTTCTCTAATATTCGCCGTTTTAGTGGGAGGTACGTTGGACTCACTTCATTTAAGCAACATTGTGTAAATGTATACCACTGTGACTTCCATCCCCTATGTTTTGTTTACAAACAATTAATTCACAATAGACATTCACTTAAGACGTTTTCCAACACTAAATAACAGCTGTGCTGTCGATTCCGTTTATCGGTTCATTTGTGTTTATCGATTCACACGTGCAAGTCTCAAGCGGCAACAACTGAAGTAAATAATTAAATAAAATAAAGAAAAACTTAATAAAAATTACCAAATTAAAATGGATGCCCATGATTTATTTCATCAATTAACGAGAGGAGTGAGATTTACCAAAAAACGGAATGAATCAAAAGCGCAGGTAAGTCCAACAACTGCAAAAATACCAAGACCACATTCATTGACAATTTTTCCTCGTCCAATTTTCCACAGAATGTTCCATCAAAGTTACCCAAATTTGAAGAAGAATTGAAAATAAAAGATGAAGGTATTGCCACCGAGGAAGATGATGATGAGTTTATGGATGGTGATGAAGAAGCCTTGGAGAATTCCAACAGTGAAGCAGAAGTGAATGATGATGACGATGAAGAAGAACCACAGGCTTTCGAATTCATATCTGGTGTGGCAAGTGCACCGAAGAAATCGAAAAAGAAAAATAAAACAGCCCTCACAGAGGAAGAGAAACAAAAGCAGCTGGAAGAGGAGATGATAGCAACAATACGTAAAGAAAATCGTATTAATGTGTTGGGTAAAAATATTCCACCACCCATTACATCGTTCCAAGAGCTCCACACCACATACAAAATGAATGAAAGATTGGTGGAGAATTTAGTTAATTGTAATTATGCTCAACCCACAGCTATTCAGATGCAAGCAATACCCATAATGTTACAGGGTCGTCCGCTGATGGCATGTGCTCCCACAGGTTCGGGTAAAACCATTGCCTTTTTAGCTCCGATTATAAATGATTTAAAGGCCCCCAAGAAAGTTGGCTTTCGGGCAATTATTCTAGCACCCACTCGAGAATTGGCCCAACAAATCTAT